GAACAAGTGGGAGCGAAATATTTATCTCATCTATATACGCAAAACAAAATAACTTAAACCATCTTAATCAGCCAAAAAGTATCACGTTAAGATTGAAAGATAGAACAAAAGTCACAATTGTTTAACTGGTTTAACTAATATAATTTATTTTTTGCATTACATAATCTGTATGAATGATCGCCTGTGAAAAATTGGCCAAAAACGCTATACATGATCTGCCTATTCTGGGTTAGATCCTCTAATATGTAACTATTTTAATAAAGTATTTTTTTGAGAAAAAGAGAAATTTGTTCAATGAAGCAATCATGGGGGTTCTTGATTCCTAAATACTAAAATTATAGTTTTGAAAATTTTTATGCAACAGTTATCCAGCTAACTTACAGGAATTATAAGAAGAGACTCGTAACTTTGGCAAAACAAGTTTGGGAGGTGGTGAGGAATGATGGTACTCCTGATAGGTGAAAGTATTTAGGTGTTATTCTGAGCGTCTTGTCACTCAATCACGCTAAGTCCTTAAGGGGTTTTCTGGCTTTGAATTTATGAGAAAGCGGGGGTGAAAAAGAAAAAAAATCAATTATTATACTGATTAGGTTGGGCACTCTTTGCTCATGCTAGAAAATATTACAACAAAAAGGTTATATACCAAAGTATTATACTATGAGCACAAAATCCCAAATATTATCTTGATACTAAAAAAAGTCTAGTTAGTATACTAGTAGTCAGAATGGAAATGTTAGCTCAACTCGATTTACATATTGATATTTCGCCTAATAGTAATTGGTGGTATAGAGATAGAGCATTCTGAGAACGCCCCAGCTGAAATTTGCCAAAAAAGGGAAAGGTTATCTCTCACGAATCGACCAGGATAGGGAAATATATTATATTAGCTTCATATTTACCTGCGTATATAAGGCATGTGTGACAACCATTAAGATGCTAAAGTATAAATAAACACGTTTCTGATCCTCGTTAAAGCTTGTGAAGTTGCATATATGATGTAATCGTGATACACTACCAATCATCTGTATAAATACGATTATCTGCATGTGTAACAAAATAATTTCACACCCGGACGGAAATCGATCTTCTCCAAAAAATATTTCGAATTTTTTCTCTTGCAATGTTCTAGAAAAATAATATATTAACTAATATGTATACTTGCCTCTGGAGAGACGAACTATTTTACTATATGAGGTTTACCCACTCCAACTGAAATACATTATATAATATTACCAGGTCATAGTTTAAGTAAATGAATGAAATCTATATGCATTATCCCCAACGCCTTTCTAAATATCGAGATCTTCAATGTGCATCCTACATGTCCTTATTTTTGAACACAAAATTTTGGTGTAAGGATCTGTTGCATATTCTCCTGTCCCTTCCAGAGAGAACACAAATGAAGTTATTTAAAAGGGTAGTATGGAAAAAAATTTATGTTTTATCATTGATAACCTCACATTATATCAGTATATTTTTATTAATATTTTTTACTATGTCGAATTTAGTAGCTAAGGTTGAAGCTCTTTTATTACAAGAATCATTTGATACTCTTTGTGAGATGTCCATAGTTTATTTAACAATAGAGGATAATATTCTACCTCCATATGAGAAAGTATGGGAAATAGTCGAATGGGCAGTCAATTCATAATTAGCGAAGCTAATAAATCTTGGTCGAAGAACTAAGGTATTAGAAATATTACTACAGATATGACATAAATGATATTTTATTTCTGTTTCTTACTTTAGTGATGAGTGCTATAGTAGATGTAAGTTTTAGTATAGTTTTGGTTTATCATAGCTGAATGTCAGTGAGTGCCGGCCCAGAAGATCAATGTCTTAGGATGTTGAGAGTTTCTGCTTCTCTCTACTGTGCGTGATTATCCAACCAAAATAATAACGATATGCCTTTTTAAAAGTTTTTGAAAATACACGTATAGCAGGAATTATAATTCATAAATTTAGGATGGGAATAATGTACCAGTACTTTTTATCACATCTACTGTAGGTAGAGAGTGGATATATCAGTGTTCGTGAATTAAAAGCATTAAAAGTATTGAATATGAATAGAGAATTACCTATAGATAATACTCAGGAAGAAATAGAACAAAATCTTAATATGTTAAAATCTAAACTCGAGGTGATTACTATGCCGTTTGGAGATTTCATATGTTTTAAAACTAACAAGCTTTTGTGCTTAGCATCCTACAATAGAAGCAGACATAAATCTTTATGGTTTACTTAAACAAAGTTTAGCGAGTATAGACTCTTCAGATCTCACATGGCGGGACTCTGAAGTAAGCATGATTTTAAGTGATAATTCAGACATCGTGAAAAACTTGGGAAGTAGGCAAAAAAATATCTTCATAGAACCTCGAGAAAATATGAAATGTATTCATCCCGATTCAGTTGTCGCTAAGTGTGTTAATTTTGTGGAAATTTTCAATAATATAAAGAATGTAAGGTCTATGAAGAACATACTTCACAATAAAAAATGGAAAGAAAGCAAGACGGATTTAGTAAAGATAATAGAATGTATTCTGGGCATAATATAAGTTGCTTGCTTATTCAAAATTTGATGGAACATCACTGTATTAATTACGTTTTTTTTATCAGTAGTGAAATATGAAGCAATCTTGTATTTATGACTAGTACATCTCGCAGTGAACAGAGTGAAGGGACATATATGGCAGATGTCATAATTCCTTTACTTCGAACGAGTTTGAGTGATCTTCCAAATGATGCTATTTGTCTAAGCATGGCTGAATGTCAAAGTATAGCAAGCAAGGCTCAGAGAAATCTAGGAATAATTAGAGAGCGGATAGGAAAAAAACCTGATATTATGGGTTTAGTGAAGCAAGATGAAAAAATTATTGAGCTATTGTATACCAAATCATCACGTATCGTATGTAGTAACTCAAAAAAAAAACAGATGACGAGGTTAAGTTATGGAGAGAAACATTGGATAAGGCAAGTTATATCAGTGCATTATGTAGACCAGTTTGGTGTTTTAGGAATTCAGATCGTGGGTACAACTATATATCTAAATATTCTTGTGAAGGATTTGGCTGGTATACCAAGATACTTCCATCTAGATCATGTGGAAATTCCATTATCCCCCACCAGTCACGCCTGAAATCTCTCATTCGTTTACTTTTAACCTTAAGAAATATAATAATCGTGAATAGGAGTCTTATAATGCAAGCATTAGAACAAGCTACCTCTCATCCGCCCTGAAATGTTAATTCAAGTCCTACCATTTCCACACCCCCATATAATAAATAGTTAGTATAATTCCATGTATTTTATCATAGAAATATTATGTATTACAGGCAAATTCCCCGAACCTTTGTATTTATATTTCTGTATCAATAAAGGGATCTGGTGGTCGATTTCATAAACATACATATTTTATTTCTTGGCAATTTTCAGCCAGGGCGCCCCAGTCAAAATTACATGATTTTTTTTTGCTAACCAATGACCATAATGTCACATGAAATTCTTGATCAGAGCTAATATTTCTAACTGATCTGCCAGATGTGTCATGAAACTGACACATGAATTTAATAGTAAAATAAACCATTTCATTGCTATGACCTAATGGGTATATTATTGCATGCAAACTTTTTTTTTGCGCAAAACTATATCTAATAAAATGTTTCATTCTGACTATAAACATATTATCAATAGACTTCCCGAAAGCCTTGTCAAGAGAGCGTGTGAGAGACTCTTATACCATTCTAAAGATCCTGTTCCGTTAGAATCTATTTCTGAAAAGTCCAAACGAATTGAATCTTATTTGATGCATACATTAGAGATTTATGAGAATTCCTTAAATAGGAAACGCAAAAATATGGCTCAGAAAAAATTACTACGTCCTCGAAGTTAGCCAGAATGTAATATATTTCCAGCATTACCATATGTATGTGTTTTAGATAGTAAGGTTCAAACTGATAGTATACCTTATAATCATGAGGAAGAAAATAACCACTGAGTTATGAATGAACTTAAATTCTTATCCCAACATCTACTTGATTATAATAGAAAGACTTTTGGAAAAATGATACAAGACATAGATAATGATTATAGAGAAAGGGTTAGTGCAAATAAGAATTACGCTACAAAGTCAAAGATCTGAAGATGCAGGTACAGGAGGCAGAAAAAAAGCTAGCATCTATAAAGTTGGATTCTATTCATTAGTTGAGACACTTTTTTCAAGAATTTGGTTCCAACCGAGCTGTATCCTATGTGGATGCTCACGAGATATGGTTAGATCGAAAACAATGAATTTTTTCTCACATAATGCCTTATCAATAATCTTAATCATACTACACCAGTCATTAGCATATTGACGCACAATTCTGACTAGCTTATCTGTGGTGCACAACCCATTAAATAGGCAGACATGTATGAGATTTTTTCATATTATTTTTGAGCAATTAAAGTAACTCTGGATACATATATCGAACTGATATTGTAATGGCATCCCTCAACAAAATAAGAAACGATTTTCTCCTGCACTTTTTTCGGATCAGCACATACATCTTTGAATATAAGCACAGTACCTCTATCTGGAGAAAACGAATCTACTTTAGGTATTTTATCAGGTTTTATTGCTCGAAATGTAATATCTTCACAATATGGTTTTGGGCTATTTGCAATTAT